GGTCAGAGGACCCATTTCCTAGTTCCCTTGGCCACTGTGCATGCCCTTTGCTTATGCAGCACAACTGCAATAGATTTATATGTAAAGTCACCAGTATTTATTTCAGTACTTATATAGCGCACATTTTCGCAGCTTTTGATTCACATCGGTTTTTTTTTTTTAACCCTCAAGGGGTTCTACAATCTAAGGTCCCTCCTTACTTTCATAAAAACATACTAAGGAACCCATTTCACCTGACATGAGCATTAACCTACCAGCATGTCTTTGTGTGTGTGAAAACCCACGCAGGCACAGGGATGTGTAAACTCCAGGCAGGTGGTCCATATAGGTCAGAAAATTCACCTGCATTCACTTCATTTTGGCAGCAAAGCATGTGTCCGGGTTTTAACAGCACAACTGGGATTGGAGTGTCATTAAAGTGCAACAATTAGTCCGCATTCACCTCTGTGCATTTCTGAACACGCGCAACTTCTGCATTTGTGGAAAGTCATGTACGTAAAACGTGTCGCACATGCATTGCCATTTAGGCAACGTTTTTGTTTTGCGTGTTTTAAGACCATGACCTCCTCCACAGGTCAACATTTATAAAAACTTTGCCCCTAGTGTATTTCACCTCCAAATGCAGCACCAAAAGCATATTCCCACTGCACACGGGTGTGTAGTTGCTTTTCATGTGTATCTGGGCATGTTTCCTGAGCAACACAGCAACCTCAATAAATCCTCAATCTGTGGAGCATTGCTGTGAGGGAACTCCATCACCCACCAGGGGCGGACTGCACCACTTCGGTGGGCAACTCATAATCACTCCCGAGGGCCCAGGGTCGGTAGGGGGCCCCATGAGATGTCCCTGGCTTGTTCCAGCTTTTTTCATAGAAGGCCTTTTCCATTCTTCTTGGCGCACTTCACAGGGGCCCCATGATCCCCTAGCAGGACCCTGGGGGCCCCATGATGTTTCCCAGTCCGCCCCTTGCACCTGAAGTCAGATCCGACAGTCCAGAAACAGCTGGCAGAGAATCACTTCCTCTCCACTAGGACACAGGCAGCCAAATGTAAAGCTTCCATCAGGCTATTGTCTTCTGCCGAGGGCATTGCACTACATGAGTAGACGAGACAGCTCTGATGCCAAACTCAGCAACTACTTCTGCTTGAACAGAAATAGTTTTTAACCCAACTGTCCAGAAATAGGTGAAGCTGCATGTCCCCACATGAACAGCAAAACACTTTATACATGAGACCAACACCCACACTGATTAGATAACTTTCCTGAAGCGCTGACATCGGTCTAATCCCTATCATGTAGCACAGAGTCATCCAGAAGGACCTCCATCAGGATAAACATCCACACTGGTTAGATAACGAGGTGAAGCTGACATCGGTCTAATCCTATCATGTAACCACCTCCAGAAGGACCTCCATCAGGATAAACATCCCACACTGGTTAGATAACGAGGTGAAGCTGACATCGGTCTAATCCTATCATGTAGGCACCTCCAGAAGGACCTCCATCAGGATAAACATCCCACACTGACTAGACGAGACTGGTTAGATGAGGTGAAGCTGACATCGGTCTAATCCTATCATGTAGGCACCTCCAGAAGGACCTCCATCAGGATAAACATCCCACACTGGTTAGATAACGAGGTGAAGCTGACATCGGTCTAATCCTATCATGTAGGCACCTCCAGAAGGACCTCCATCAGGATAAACATCCCACACTGGTTAGATAACGAGGTGAAGCTGACATCGGTCTAATCCTATCATGTAGGCACCTCCAGAAGGACCTCCCAACAGGACCCACAATAGGTGACTCCATTAACAATGCACACCTAGGAGGCACACAATGGGAGAACGAGGTGACAGCATCACACCTTCTAAACCAATTGTAGGCACCTCAGCATGAGGACCTCCATTTCACTGATTAACATCCCACATCTTCTGGTTAGATATGAGACGAGGGTGAAGCTGACATCGCAGTCAATCCTATTTGGGCACCTCCAAAGGGACAAATCTGTATCTTGGTCCTCCAGTTCCTCAGAGTCTCTGTGTTTTGGGGAGACATGGACTTGAATTCCTAAGTAAACTGCTCCAATCCCCCCCCCTGGAACACTCCAAAGAATAGAGGCCCCATCAGGATGCCATCCCACACTGGTTTAGCAACGAGGTAGCTGACATCCTCTCCAAAAGCCCCTGTCCATGGTTGGGTCTGCCACATTTTTCCTCCAAAAGTGGGTGACTAGGACCCTCCAGGTCCCAGGACCTCCACATGGTCCGGACATGCGTTAGTTTGGGCAGGTGAACCTGACATCTAATCCTACATGTAGGCATTCTCCACAGGGAAAAGGGCCTCCATCAGGATAGGTGAACAGGTCCCACACTGTTAGATAACGAGGTGAAGCTGACATCGGTCTAATCCATATCCGGTAGGACCTCCCAGAGAGGACCTCCATCAGGATAAACATCCCACACTGGTTAGATACATGAGGTGCTGGGCTGACATCGGTCTAATCCTATCAGTGCGTAGGCACCTCCAGAAGGACCTCCATCAGGATAAACATCCCACACTGGTTAGATGTTGGGGAGGACATCTCTAAGGAGGGACCCAATGAAGCTGACCTATCCTCCTGAAGGACTGTCAGGATAAACATCCCACACTGGTTAGATAACCAGTTGCTGAAGCTGACATCGGTCTAATCCTATCATGTAGGCACCTCCCTGAAGGACCTCCATCAGGATAACACATCCCACACTGGTTAGATAACTGTAGGTGAGGCTGACATCGGTCTAATCCCATCATGTGGGCACCTCCAGAAGGACTTTCTCCATCAGGATAAACATCCCACACTGGTTAGATAACGAGGTGAGGCTGACATCGGTCTAATCCTATCACGTAGGCACCTCCAGAAGGGACCTCCATCAGGATAAACATCCCACACTGGTTAGATAACGAGGTGAAGCTGACATCGGTCTAATCCTATCACGTAGGCACCTCCAGAAGGACCTCCATCAGGAAAAACATCCCACACTGGTTGATAACGAGGTGAAGCTGACATGGGTCTAATCCTATCATGTAGGCACCTCAGAAGGACAGCTCCATCAGGATAAACAGAGACTGGCACTAGATATAGAGGTCTGCTCTGCTGCCAGTGCTTCATCAGGGGTTTGGATCCCACTGTATCGGCCTAAGATAATGAGGAGAAGGGGTGACATCGGTCTAATCCTATCATGCTGTAGGCACCTGGACAGAAGGACCTCCATCAGGATAAACATCCCTCTTACACTGGGAAAGAAAATGAGGTGAAGCTGACATCGGTCTAATCCTATCATGTAGGCACAGCTCCAGAAGGACCTCCATCAGGATAAACATCCCACACTGGTTAGATAACTCCTTAGGTGAAGCTGACATCGGTCTAATCCTATCATGTAGGCACCTCCAGAAGGACCTCCATCAGGATAAACAGGCCCACACTGGTTAGATAACTCAGGTGAAGCTGACATCGGTCTAATCCTATCATGTGAGGCACCTCCAGAAGGACCTCCATCAGGATGTTCCACCTCCCACACTGAAGGGCTAGAAACTCCATATCTTCCTCGTGCCCAGCACACTTCTGAGATGTTCAGCACCTGGTCCCTGTAATCCATGACTTCTTCCAAATGCCATTCTAGATCACTCCTGACATCGGTCCTGTGACAGCCTATCACGTACAACACCTCCAGAAGGACCCCATCAGGATAAAGCCCACACTGGTTAGTATGCTAACGAGGTGGAGCTGACATCCCTGGGCTCTATTCCTATCAGTAGGCACCTCTGTAGGACTCTCATCAGGATAAACATCCCACACTGGTTAGGACGAGGTGAAGCTGCTTAACGGTCAACTGTCCATCCTTGTGTGTAGGCACCTCCAGAAGGACCTCCATCAGGATAAACATCCCACACTGGTTAGATAACGAGGTGAACCATCGGTCTAATCCTATCACGTGGGCACCTCCAGAAGGACCTCCATCAGGATAAACATCCCCACTGGTTAGATAACATCCCTGAGGTCCTGAACTGACATGGTCCACTGTGCTGCATCCTATCATCTCTCGCACCCTCCTTACGTATTCCTCTTCCATGGAGGCTGGTGTCTGTACCTCCTCCTCTTCTGCAACAATGGTGAACTCATTAACATGCACACCTAGGTGGCACACAACTGGGAGGAAAGACACACTCACACCTTAATAAACAGATTCCAACAAGAGTCCTCAGCATCAGGTTTTTTTTTACTGATTATATCAACATCTTCTTAGAGTCTCTGAGTCTAGGAAGGAGGGGGATTGAAAACAGTCAATTCTAGTTTGGGGACAGGGACCCCAAATCTGTATCTTGGTCCTCCAGTTCTCAGAGTCTGTGTGTTTTGGGGAGATATGGACTTGAGTCCCAAGTAAGCTACTCCAAAGGTCCCCCCAGGCACACACCAAAGAATAAAGCCCCCTCAGACCAGGGCCATGGTCAGTAGGCAAGAGGCTAGCCTGCAGTTCATCCCCTCCAAAAGCCCTGTCCCGGTTGGGTCTGTCACAGTGGGAACTTACATTTCGGCTATGCTCGGGTGTGAATGGAATGTGCTTGGGGGGACTTTATAATCCCTTCGATGTTTGCTTTGAAGTAGCATCATGTTTCTGGAAAGTCGTGTACAAAGTCATGATGGAAGTCACCCCATCTAGACCAAGCTGCCTGATGTGGGCGGAGTCCTGGTTTGGGGGAACCAATCAGCTTCTGTCTAGTAATCCTCTTTGTCTTTGTATTTTAGTCCATGGCCGGGAGATGAGGAAAACCTCCGAGGATTGTCTCACTTTGTCTCCAGAATGGAAAGTAGAAGATGAGGACATCATACAGTATATTCTAGGAGAAAACCCGGCTCCCTCCAATGTCCATCCGGCCCCACCCAGTGTAGATGGACCATCGGATTCCTCGTATCCTGAGGAACCTCAGACTGTGCGGGACCGGGCCGGCCTTCCAACAGGGAAGAGCTTCTCCTGTACTGAGTGTGGGAAAGGTTTCCGTTCTAAACATGGTCTTAATGTCCATATAAGATCTCACACAGGTGAGAAGCCGTATTCCTGTCCTGAGTGCGGGAAATGTTTTTTAAGGAAGTCCCAACTTTACAGACATCAGAGGTTTCACACAGGTGAGAAGCCATATTCCTGTTCTGAGTGCGGGAAATGTTTTGTACTAAAATCAGATCTTGTCACCCATCAAAGGCGTCACACGGGGGAAAAACCGCACTCCTGTCCTGAGTGTGGGAAATGTTTTTTAAGGAAGTTCCAACTTTACAGACATCAGAGGTTTCACAAGGGGGAGAAGCCGTATTCCTGTTCTGAGTGCGGGAAATGTTTTGTAGTAAAATCAGATCTTGTCACACATGAAAGGATTCACAAGGGGGAAAAACCATACTCCTGTCCTGAGTGCGGGAAATGTTTTTCAGACAAGTCCTTTTATCACAAACATCAGAGATCTCACACAGGGGAAAAGCCATATTCCTGTCCTGAGTGCGGGAAATGTTTTTCATGGAAGTCCAGTCTGAACAGACATCAGAGATCTCACAAAGGGGGAGAAGCCGTATTTCCTGTCCTAAGTGCAGGAAATGTTTTTTAGACACTTCAGATTTTTACACACATAAGCGATCTCACAAAGGGGAGAAGCCACTTTCCTGTTCTGAGTGTGGGAAATGTTTTTTATTTAAGTCCCATCTTGACACACATCAGAGATCTCACTCGGGAGAGAAGCCGTATTCCTGTCCTGAGTGTGGGAAATGTTTTTCAGACAAGTCCAATCTTTACAGACATCAGAGGTCTCACACAGGGAAAAAAGCCATATTCCTGTCTGAGTGCGGGAAAAGTTTTTTACAGAAGTCTGATCTTTACAAACATCGGAAATTGCACACGGGGGAGAAACCGTATTCCTGTCCTGAGTGTGGGAAATGTTTTTCACAGAAGTCCTATCTTTCTGGACATCAGAGATCTCACAAGGGGAAGAAGCCTCGTTTCCGGTCATGAGTGAGGGAAATGTTCCTCACTGAAGTCCTGTCTTCCTGTACATCAGGGATCCCACACAACCCTGGAGGTGTATTAGTGCCTTGAGTGCGGGAAATGTCTTCTAGATGAATGTTGCTGGACATCCCAGCTCTCATGTGGGGAAGAAGCACACCCTGATATACACCTCAGATATACTCCATGGCTGATCTTCATCATGGAAGGAACAGTCCATAAGGAGATCAGAGGTCCCCAAAGACATGGCTGAAGTGTGGGACCGGGCTGGCCATTGATAGCAGGAGAAGAATAAAAATTTAATCACCTTTCATTGGCTGAGTATGTTTTGTGGTGGAAGATTTTGCAGTCTATTTTTAAAAAATATGTATTTGAACAAATGTGACCGGAATTCTCCAGCTGTGATGAATATTGGATGTATTTTATCTCTTACACTGATTCCCTTGGCTCCATCTAGTGGTCATAATGCGGTATTGAGATATTTTTACTTAATGAGTTATTTTCAGGACACATACCCCATTTTGGTCTCTAGATGGAGCTGATGATCATAGGAAATCACTGTTACATTAAATTACAGACAGAATTTGTCATGGCTGCATGATTGCTTGTCACATTTTCTATAAGTGGACCCCTTAGTTTCTCTCTTCAGGCACGGTCTCATACTAATCCCTGAGATCATATTTCTGCAGGTATGAGTACATCAGACATAGAAAAACATATGTCCAATAAACCAGCCATTGATTTAATATGGAAAATACCACATTTGGCCTTTAGATGGCGCTAAGTATTCCAGAAATATTTTCCATTTTAAGTTAATGGAAATCATTCGGCCAGGAAATATAACATCCATCATTCCCCCAGTCACACAGAAGGAATGAAGTGGCGGTGGTAGTGAGTCTAATCACATGAAGATAAAATTCATCAAAAATAGTGCTCGGGGTTCCGTGACTTCAATTACTGTTGTGAAAATCCGGTACAATAATGCACTTACCAGAAGTACATATAATGAAAGCATTATATGTAAAACATATACAGTGAGGAACAGAAGTATTTGAACCCTGCGATTTTGCAAGTTCTCCCACTTAGAAATCATGGAGGGTCTGACATTCACATTGTAGGTGCATTCCCACTCTGAGAGACAGAATAAAAAAAATTCAGGAAATCACATTGTATGATTTGTAAAGAATGTATTTGTCTCGCACGGCTGAACAGAAGTATTTGAACCCCTGAGAAAATCCGTGTTAATATTTGGTACAGAAGCCTTTGTCTGCAGTTACAGAGGTCAGACGTTTCCTGTAGTTCTTGACCAGGTTTGCACTGCAACAGGGATTTTGGCCGACTCCTCCACACAGATCTCCTCTAGATCTGTCAGGTTTCGGGGCTGTCGCTGAGCAACACAGAGTTTCAGCTCCCTCCAAAGATGTTCTATTGGATTTAGGTGTGGAGACTGGCTAGGCCACTCCAGAACCTTGATATGCTTCTTACGGAGCCACTCCTTGGTTATCCTGGCTGTGTGATTCGGGTCGTTGTCATGTTGGAAGACCCAGCCACGACCCATCTCTCTTCAATGCTCTGACTGAGGGAAGAAGGTTGTTGCTCAAAATCTCACAATAAATGGCCCCATTCATCCTCTCCTTAATACAGTGCAGTCGTCCTGTCCCCTTTGCAGAAAACCACCCCCAAAGCATGAAGTTACCACCCCCATGCTTCACAGTAGGGATGGTGTTCTTGGGATGCAACTCATCCTTCTTTTTCCTCCAAACACGATGAGTGAAGTTTAGAGCAAAAAGTTCTACTTTGGTCTCATCTGACCACATGACTTTCTCCCATGCCTCCTCTGGATCATCCAGATGGTCATTGGCAAACTTCAGACAGGCCTGGACATGTGATGACTGGAGCAGGGGAACCTTCTGTGCAATGCATGATTTGAAACCATGACGGCGTAGTGTTCTACCGACAGTGACCTTAGAAACTGTGGTCCCAGCTCTCTTCATGTCATTGACCAGCTCCTCCCTTGTAGTTCTGGGCTGATTCCTCACCTTTCTTATCATCAGTGATACCCCACGAGGTGACATCTTGCATGGAGCCCAGTCCGAGGGAGACTGACAGTCGTCTTTAGCCTCTTCGATTTTCTAACAATTGCTCCAACAGTTGATCTATTTTCACCAAGCTGCTTGGCAATTGCCCCGTAGCCCTTTCCAGCCTTGTGGAGGTCCACAATTTTGTCTCTGGTGTCTTTTGACAACTCTTTGGTCTTGCCCATGGTAGTAGTTGGTGTCTGACTGACTGTGGGGTGGACAGGTGTCTTTAAAGAGCTCAGACAGGTGCTGCTAAGTTAGATTAATGAGTGGAGTAGAGGTGGACTTTTTAAAGGCACAGTAACAGGTCTTTGAGAGCCAGAATTCTTGCAGTTTCTTAGGTTTTCAAATACTTATGTTCAGCATTGCAAGGCAAATCAATTCTTTACAAATCATACAATGTGATTTCCTGATTTTTTTTTTTTATTAATTCTGTCTCTCAGAGTGGGAATGCACCTACAATGTGAATTTCAGACCCCTCCATGATTTCTAAGTGGGAGAACTTGCAGAATCGCAGAGTGTTCAAATACTTCTGTTCCTCACTGTATGTAGTATCATCAGGGTCTGGTCTATGGTTGCGGTATCATCTGGCTCTATGGTAGACTCTCAGAGATGGAATGACTCACACTCGGGGGTCACCTCAGGCTCACAGATTTGTCCAAACCAGCTCAAAAACCCTGGTAGCACCTTCCCAAATGGCTCCACCATATGAGGCGGTGCCACCACCCAACAGTTTGTTAGCAGACTGGTCTGCTGGGCCACCACACACCAGAGATTTCCGTCTGGCAGATCTGCTACTTTACAATCTTCATGCAATTTGCCAACACACAGTACAATTGCATACAGATCGACGAGCACATATAGACACTACAATACAACAATCTCTCCGAAGATATGAGCCCGAGCTTAGTACACAGAAAGTCACTTGTTAATTTTATGATTTAATATCCTGAAAGTGGGCGGAGCATTAAATATGTACAAAGAAAAAACTGTTACAGGGAATACAAAAAGACACACAATTGGTTATTCACTATAAAATAAAAGGGAATAAAAACAGAAATAAAACCTTTACCAAGAGTTATCCTGTGACTGGCGCAAGTCAGAGAAAGTCTCACCCTGTAGTCTCTTCTCTGTGCTCCACAGCCCAGGATCCAAAATGGTATTACTGGCATCTGTGGTGACAGGGGAGCAAACAAAAGAAAACTTTGTCCCACAAAGGGTTACAGGCGCACAATACTGGTCTATACCAGGACTTACTGAAACACAATGTGCCTTTTCACTGGTTACTTCAGAAGAACATTCTGTTTCTTTACATATGGGTACAAAACCAAATTCCTGTTGCCCATACACTCTCATCCTGCCATCCGCTGCTGGCAATCCTTCAGCCAGACCCCGTGGGCTGCCATCACTTTTTACAGCCTTAGGGGACTCAGCGCTATCTGCCACAGGTGCCAGGTGGACAGCAGTCTAAGGACACCTCAAGCCTTCTGGGCCAGATTCAGAGGGGTCTGACCTGAACTGATCAGCTCCCTCTGCAGACAATTCCTCTGTATTGCATGTCATGATATTTACCATCCCATAAAACATTATCAGTTTCAGAGTCTCTTGAGGTTTTAAGTTCTTCTCCAGGTCTTGACTCCAGAGAGCCACTAGGGCCAGGATCTGGTACACAGTCATTCACCCACTGACCCTCCATAGAATTCCCAATGTGCACTGAATCACCCAACAGTACATTATGTGAATCCGGGGCCTCAGATGGAAAGGTAGACTTCAGGGGGGTTGACTTTGGCTTATCCTGGGCTACCAACTGCCCAGGTCAGTACCCAATAGTACTTTAATGGCATTTGCTATGCCTACTTCTCTCACTTTGCTTTTGGATCCTTGGGGCAAAGCAACACAAGCTGTAGGTAGCACAGGGGTGACTCCTCCAACCTCTGTGATAACCATGGCTTCCTTTGGGACCACATCCTCACAGCTCCTTAATTCTGGAAGAGCTAGGACATCCTTGAGTCCTGTATCTCAGAGTCTGAATGAAACGTTGTTACCTGCAGTAACCAGCTGCAGGCTATCCACACGACCTCCTTCATTGATGGAATCTGCTCTGCCCACTTCTTTCACTTAACTTCCAGATTCCCATTTCAAAGAAATACAAGCCATAGGCACAGCAGGGATGGCTCCTCCAACCCCTGTGACATCCATGGCTTCCACTGGGATCACATCCTCACAGCTCCTCAATCCTGGAAGAGTTAGGACATCTTCTAATCCTGTACCTTGTAGTCCAACTGTAACGCTGTTACTTGCAGTAAATGGTGGCTGGTTATCCGCTCGGCTTCCTACATTTTCTCCAACAACACAGTAGGGGGTGCATTTTCTACACTTGCTGGTGGGCTAGGTATCCTCATCTTTGGACAGGGGAGTGAGTAGTGTCCCACTTGCTTACAGAAAAAAACACTTTCAGGTCTCCATAAATGTAGGTCTGTCTCCTGTAGTTCTTGATGCAGATGGAGGTAACAATGCATTGCCCTGCTGGATTTGGGCCCTCTTGGGTTTGTGCCCTCTCTCAATTTGCTCCATCCGCTGTTGGTGCTCTTTTTAAAGTTGTAGCAACTCAGAAATGAGCTGAAACTACAACTTGAGGTTATCACTTCCCAAAAGCTGTAGGGCTGTTCCCAGAGAAAAATCCTCTTTGCGTGCTGATTTCTTGTGCAGAGAGGGTTTGAGAACAGAGTCACACTGATTCACAAAGTCATCTGGAGTGGCACAGTTGCAGGGTGTCACCGATATGGTGTGCTGTTCTAACTCCTTCTCTATCAGAGCACCTAGGAGCTGATACCTCGTCTTGCCAACTGTATTGATGTCCTTTAGATCACAGAGGTCATTCACAGTCTCATTGGATTGTCTCAGCTACCAGAGTATTAACTTATCTTCATG